AAAGTTAAGAAGATATTGAGTTTGTCCCCCATTCCCTCCTGCCTGAAGCATGTGATCCTGATTGACTGCCAAGAAATCGATGATGAATCGAAGAATAAAGCCGCCGAAAATGAGATACAGCTGCACGATTTCGAAGAATTGCTCAAGTCCGGTTGGGAAGGATATACCGACCCTGCCTTATTGCCGAAACCGGAAAACGTTTTCACAGTGTGTTACACCAGTGGCACTACTGGAATCCCGAAGGGAGCGATGATCGGACACAAGCATGTCGTGTACATCGTCAAGTCTTTGCAAATATTTTTTAAGTCGCAAGGCATTTATGTGTCGCCTGAAGACAGCAGGCTCTGCTACTTACCTCTGGGTCATGTATATGAATTGATAAACCTGCTCCTCGGGTTTTACCTCGGTTGTAAATTAGGATTCTACAGCGGAGAAATAAGGGAACTGATGAAAGACATCAGAGATCTGTCACCGACCGTAATGCCTGTTGTCCCGAGGATTCTGAATCGATTTTACGAAAAAGTTCAACTCAGCCTCCTGTCGAAACCATACCACAAGTTCATCTTCAATACCGCCATCAAAATCAAACAGCTAGAGCTGAAGTTTGGCATCGTGCGAAATAACGGTATCACTGACAATTTGGTCTTCGCCAATGTCCACAAAGAAGTTGGGGGAAAACTGCATTTGATAACCGTTGGATCAGCTCCTATGGCGCCAAACGTTCTCACCGCATGCCGAGCGATGCTAGGATGCATCATCGTCGAGGGCTACGGTCAGACAGAATCCTCTGGACCAGTGACCATCACGTTACCGTGTGATACGGAAAGTGGTCACGTGGGGGCTATTTTGCCTGGTCAGCAAGTGAAACTGGTTGATGTGCCGGAACTGGAATATTATGCTAAAAACGACAGAGGCGAAATATGCGTCAGAGGCAGAAATACCATGATCGGCTACCTACACGACCTGGAAAAGACTGAGGAAACTTTGGATGAAAACGGCTGGATTCACACGGGCGACATAGGCGAATGGCGAAGCAACGGTTCCCTGAAAATCATCGACCGCAAAAAGCACATCTTCAAACTCTGCCAAGGCGAATACATTGCTCCGGAAAAAATTGAAAACGTCTATAGCCACTGCTCGCTAGTAGCGCAGATCTTCGTCGACGGGTCCAGTATCCAGCGGTACCTCGTGGCCATTGTCGTACCGGAAAAGGAGGAGCTTCTGAAATGGGCTAAATCGCAAAAAATTGATGTAGACTTTCAATCGCTGTGTTCTAAACAAGAGGCCATAGATTACGTCCTTCAAGAATTAAAAAATACCGGGAAGCAGATGGGTCTCAACTCTCTGGAGCAGGTGAAAAAAATATATCTGTGTGAAGAAGCTTTCACCACTGGCAACGGCTATTTGACCCCGACGTTTAAAAACCGCCGACCGGTTTTGAGAAA